AACTCTACATTATGTTATTGCATTCAACGTGGAAATATTATTTTAAGTAGTAATCTCACTATATTTTATTACTATTATGAGTGAAGTAAGCAATATCAAAATGTATATTATTATATAATCTACATGGAATCCAAAATCGCGCCAGCTATACTATTATCAAAGTCAGTCGTAACTCATAGCAGCACAGTAGGTTGATAATAAGTTAGACTGATAAGTTACATATACAAATTTTATAAAGGTAAGTTTTCATGTGAAAGTATTGAGTAGAAAACATATTCAAGTGTCTAAGCATCTTAAATAAATCTCATATATACAACTGACGAGGTTGTATGTTTGAATGCACTAATTTCAGGAAATTGGCGCGTCTTGGTTTAAATTAAAAAAATATTTCTTAGTTAGAGCATTTTCGAGAAAGGTATATAGTATCGCGCTGTGACTAATAAGTGCGAAGAAACAGCGGGAAATGTGAAAAAAAAATATATAATAATATGTCCGCGACAGTATGTCTATCTTTTAAGAATAAATTGCAAGAACAACGGGACGCGACCGACATCATGGGTACCAGCTTATTTTTTAAAATGAAGGGAAGGTTTGTAAAAGCAAATTTGAATGCCTAAAATAACTATCTACCCGAACGAAATCCTGATGTGAAGTTAGAAACGGATTGTTTTATGTAATATTTACGATGTTGTTCACTTGATTACACATAAACTCTTGAACACGTCGTCTGCGAGTTTGTCACGTTCGAGATGAAGCCTCAACTACTTGATATGCATATAAATGAGTTCTAAGTCAAAAATGGGAGGACTAACATAATATTGGTGGAGTCGTAAGAAAAAAAGCTGCTGAAATGGTTAGAAGTATTGACCCTAGAGATAGATACTAGAAGAAAAATAACATGGGTTGTAAATAACTTGTCTACTAATATATAACTAAGTGAGTAATATAATAATCTTAAGTAGTATAGACAGATAGGATAAATTATGTCGTAATTTCGAAAGTTTCGTTGGTATAATGGTAACAATGTTTGTATCAACACTGTAATCAACAGGACGTGAATTCGATTCCCACCGGTTTCAACTTGTGTCTAATCGATTTATAACTTTTGAAATACATATGTTGGACTTCGTCTAGGATTCTGATATTAAATATGGTATATTTTTAAATATAACACTTTAACGTTTAAAACGCGATTATTGTCTTAAAATATTGCCCGACTTTGATTTTAGTGGTCAGGGGGAACTAATATATTTTTCCTTAAATTTTTATTTAAATTTACTACTCGCGTAAACTATAGACAGTATTTGGTATATTTTTACCACTCATTTATATAATATCGAAATTTCGTCCTGGTGACGAGAACCTTTTCCGCCAAGTTACATTTAACGTCTTACTACCTTAGATGAGCTACATATTTTTTTGGGGGGAGGGGGGGCCCCAACAACCTCAAATATTGTCGTCGATGGGGGGGGGGGGGCCCCCACACCCCCAAATTTTGTCGTCGATTAATTAATAATAATGGTTTTTATAAATAATGAAACAGAATAATTAATTTACTCTGTTCCGGGCTAGGGGGGGGGGGGAAATTTTGGAAGGGGGGGGGGGCTAACCAACAACAACATATACAATAAACAGATGCTTAGAGCTATTGTTCCAATAAGTCATAACTAACATAAAGCTATAATATTGTAACTAAATGAAAAAAATGGACTTCGATCTAATTTTTAATTTATCAACTCAAACTATCTATTTTATTTAATAAAAAATAATCCGATAAATATCCGAAGAATTTATTTATTTACTAAAGATGAAAAGCTGATTTAAATTACCCATCAACAACGCAGTTGTGCAGCGGGAAATAACAGCCATTATATTTTCTTGTATTTAAAATTTAAATCAGTTATTAAACTTCGCGTTGCAAGCGATAACAGCTAGTCGTTATCCTTAGTTGTTTTCACGTCTGTGCATAATATAAATTGTTTGCTTCGTACTAAATAGTTTGTTATTTATTTTTTAAGAATAGTTAGTTTTTAGGGCGTGCTGCAATTATACGAAGTTACAAAAAAATAATGCGCATTAAATAAAAAATAATGACACAATAGAAACACATAATACACAAACTTGCCCGTTAAAATGCAATATTTACTTATGGTACACTGACCAAACAAGCGGTGAGTATACCTATGGTGTAGCGATACATACAGAAGTACCGGAGATGCGTTGCCAGCTTATAAATAATTAATTACACGTCACTTGAAGGTGCCCATTAATACAGATTACAAATATATAACTTACTCGTAAGATATATTTCATAATCGCCATAATGAGCGGATGGCATCATCAGGAGATGCTAGCTCCTCGATTGCTCGAACAATTATATAATGTTACATAATTTTTCAAACAGCCCGAAAAATAATGATATGGAAGAAATCATTGTTTTACATAATATAATGTTGGTGTGCCTCAAAATGTATTTTTAAAGCAAGTTAAACTTTTTGAACAGTGTAGTTTAACACTGTTTAACGTGTTTGTTAGGCAGATTGTTATACAAATACTCTCTCTCAAATCGGAGAGTAGGTGTTTTGTTTGGCTATTTGTAACTTTGATTTTACAGTGCCTTATGTAAGTCTTATTTCGCATTTTAAAACTGTATAAGTGTTTTATTTAATCAAGCCAAAATATATTTAAAAAACTCAAGATTTCACCGAAGCTCCTGTCATAAAAGATCGCATTAAAATTATGAGAACGTAAACTGAAATCTGAGTCCAAGACGCGCTAAATCCACCGCAAAAACTATTGCCGGCTGCGGTCAAGCGACCCGTCCACTCTAATGAGAGATAATACAGGCTGCTTATCAACTACGCGACTTGAAGGCCTAAAACATTTTAAGCCCCATACAAAACTTTATAGCTTGATTTAAAGACTATCCGAATATCCAAGCCAAAATAGGTCGATAGCGCATCTTGTTAACTCGTATAACTACTGTCAGTAGTTTATATGAGTGTATGCACGTTTAATAAAGGATCGGGTCGTATTTAACATAAATGTAAATAAGTCTATATATGAGTACTGCCTATTACATTTACCAAATCGAATGAAAACTTGTTATTTTGAAATAACGTCGGGGTAAGGATTTCTGGTAGTAAGAGATAGTCTCACAGTCTCGTGCCCGACGGATAGTAGAAAATCGTTAAGCGATTGAGCCTTGTTCAGAGTCAATATTAGTAGCTAACGGTTGCTCGCGTTATAGGTTACTCTCGCTGTATCGAACTTACCAATTCTCTAACAGTAATCTGTTTAGATCGATTCAATCGTTGGGTATTTGTGTTAATTTGTTTTGAACTATTTAAATAGTCTCTTATACCGTACTAAGAGACGTCTGCTTTGAGTATTCTTTCGAGCCCCTCATCAACCCTTCACCATATTAAATTGGAGATTGCCTAATACAATACACAAAAATAAAAAAAAAACTAATAAATGACAATCAGTACCAGTCTCAGATGAACAAATGAGTGCTTGTCACACTCAGCAGCGCCATTGTTTATAAACAGCCTTAACTTTCAGCTTCGTTTGTAAAACCAATTCATTTGTTCTCCGTTGGGATTTCGGAGCACATTAAAACTGCCAAAGTAATTATTTTGATATCTCTATAATTTACAAGTTAAAATCCTTTGTTGTAATGAATACTTTATTATAATGTTGATTTGGAGTTATAATATATAAATATGAACTGTTTAAAATGTTTCAATTTCTTTACAGCATTGTATTTTGCTTTTGAAAACGTTTTTTATTTAATGTATCTTATTTTCGTTAACTGCTTATCAACTAAATTGGTGGAATTTTTTAAAAGTGTACATTTAATAGAGTTGGAATTTTTAATCTATAATTAACTGATTACTCATGCCTCGCGGGTAGTGATTAGACTTTGAAGGTAGTCGATTCTATGATTTTAGATGTAAAAAAAATTACAACACGAGCCGGACTTGAACCAACATTAACGGCCCCTTTCCCCCAAAAAAATTTTGTTTTTTTTTTCCCCCCCCCTTTTTTTTTTTTTTTTGGGGAAATAAAAAAAATTTAAATTAAAAACACGGCTGGAAATGAAAAATTCTTTTTAATTTTGAATTGAACTTGCTTAATCCAGTTTCTGAAAACATGTTATTTTACAAAGCACACGTTGTTAAGTGATCCAGCGCACGAAGATTCCGTGATAGCCTTAATTATAATCTTTTGTTTCTATTAACTAGATGCGAGAATGGGAAAGTTGCTTGGCCATTATGAAAATTGCTACTTTAACGAACTCTTATATTTACAATGCTTTAGTCGAAGGATTTTGTTCGACTTAAGCATTTTATTTAACGTACTTAACTTAATCCACAAAAAAATATATAAACACGCATATAAATCTATTAAAAACATTACACTATAAGGTTAATATATAATGATACAAATAGTGAAATATGATGGGAATATTTATTAAAAGAATGTAAAAATTAATCGCCTTAAATAATGTATAAAATAATACAGCATTTGTTTGAATAGGTAACTTCTTAAATAGTGTCTTTAGTTTTACGCGAGTAGTACACATTTAAATAAAACACTTTATAGCGTTTTAAACCGTTAAAGTCACGTTTTATTAAAGTAACAGGTTCTTGTTGCAGAAGCCATCTGGTTGCGTGACGTGTTACGGCACTAGTCGGCTCCAATGCTTTTTTAAGATGTTTCCTCGTAATAATAATAAAAAAAATAAAAAGCGGCTTCCAGCGTAAGCTGTGTGTTATCACATTATCACATACCATAGTTACCATGTTTTAACTAATATGCTATCTATGGTAAATTGTACTCTATAAATTGATTACTGATTAATTGACACATTAAATATGTAATGAATAATCGAAACAATAGCTATCCATCAATTGAGGATAAGTCTAAACCGATCCTTTATCGTCTGCAATGCTATTACGTCACTTGTTGTTCCGATCGGCGCAAGCGCAGACGTCATGAAGAGTTTTATTATTTTAGTACTTTTGTACGTTGCGAGTGCAAATGAAGATGACTGTAAGTAATTTTTGATTAGTTAATATTTCACTAAAGAAAAAGAATGTTTCATTGGGTAGCAATTTTGATATTTCAAAATAAAAAATGTAGTCTTATTATTGTTCAATAAGAATATCATATTTTAATTATTTAACAATATGTATTTTAAATTTCCTTATAAATGAACTCATTGAATCATAGGACGTTGAATGAATAATGTTTTATTACCTAACTGTTACATCACATGTTAGGTCACTTTAGCAAGAGAAAGTCGATGACTCACAAGTTCTTTAATATATTAGTTCTAAGTAATAATTAGCGTATTCTAACTCCTGTATAATTCTTAGAGCCTGGTATTTCTTTGAAAATGATTTTATTTTAACATTCCTCTACTTTCTCTCTCTATCTATTAATATTAATTTTATTAAAAAAGGAGTCTGAGTAACTTGAAATTGTCAGATAGGGTTGGGGGTAAAAATTTTTTAAAAAAAAAAAAAAAAAAAAAAAAAAAATTTTTTTAAAAAAAAAAAAAAAACGGGGGGGGGTTTTTTTTTTCCCCCAAGCAACCGCAAAAAAAAAAAAATACTTTTAACGCAAAACTTTAAAAAATCAAAACTTTTACAAATTCCTTTAAATTAAAAAGAAATGCATAAATTATCTTTGTATTGCATATAACTAGTCAGGCCAGTGAACTTCATTAATTGAATAATGGCTATAATCCTAAACGATAACTTGTGCTGTCCGCAGTTCTACAAGATTATTCAAACAATATTATTACTGACGTTAGCTTAAAATAATTTCTTTTCAACAATAATAAAAATGTTGGTAAAACGTATTTATTGTACCTTTTACTGTATAAGATGGAATTTTGTCTGATTACAACGTCAAAAACACAACTTTCAAATAAAAGAACTAATATTATGCAAAAGTGTTAAAAGTTTACACACACAAAATCTTTCTTATAAAACCGTGACTCTTATAATCTGTATAATGTGTGCTTAGTTTAAATAATGTTGGTAATTGTTTCTTAGATTTGGTGTTGAAACAGGTGTCAAATACAAAGAGATAGATAGATAGATACATACATATAAAAAAAATAGATATTATTTGATCAGATGAAGACATTACATTTTTAATGACCGAGAAATTTTAGTATTATATCTGCGACTGTAAATTTTAAACACTTTTAAGTGTAGTTAAAGATATGTGCAATATTGCATCAACTCCACTTAACTATAATATAACGGCCTTGTTTATTATATCCCAAGTTGTTTTTTTTAAATATCTTGTGTCAGAATATATGACGTCATTACGCGTACAGCAAAGCATGTACAACATAGGGTCTTAGTTGAAAATTTGATCACTATTTTGCGTTAAAAACCCTTTAAAGTGTTATATTAAAATGTCTATTACTTGCGTAAATTGCAGACAATACTAGATGTGATAAAAATTAATTAAATTTTGTAAAGCGTCACACAATAATTTATTTAATTATTCTTAAAGGTTTATCAATTAAATACTTATATGTAAAATACAATATAATATACACTTACATATTTTAACACATAAGGATTTAACTTAAGCCAAGCACAGCGTTACTTATTTATAATACAGGGGAAAGACTATCTTTATATATACTTACATTAAAAAGGAAAATTTATTACAATAATTTACTAATTAATAATATAATGTAATTTTAAATACGGCAAATTTATATTTCAGTTCGTGCCATTGACTCCATAGAACAGGAAGAGCCCTGTTCATCCATGGGAGGTATGTGTACCATCGCCGCTGACTGCCCGGGGGGTCATTTGGCGGACAAACCAGATCTTTGCCCCAAACAACGGAAACAGGGTGTTGAATGTTGTTATGGCTGTAAGTGCATTTACAAACCTCGTCACGGCATTCATACTAACCTTAAGAGAGGGTAGTATGAATGAGGGTAGAATGAGTCAGTAGTTAAAACATGTAACGATTACGAGTCTCGGGAAGACAATAATCGTCATTATATTAAGGCAAGAAAGAAAATGAAATTCATCCGATTAGAATAGTAATTTTGACCATCAAAATTTGTTTTTGCGAACCGACTCATCTTTATAAATCATACCAGTTACTCACGACGTCATCCGCGTCCCGTCTTTCTTGCAAGGTAAGTTAAGCGCACACAACGGACACACTTAAAAATGTATATTTTTTCCGTTTTTCCTAATATTTCTTCGCTTTAATTGGTCGCAGCATAATGTTTTATAACCTGAAGCCTTCCTTGATAATGCTAAAACTAACATACGAATACTTTTTCAATTCGAACTAGGAATTTCAGAGATCTGCACGTTCAAACAAACAAACAAACCCTTCGGAAAAATGTGGCTTTTATTTATCTTTTTATACCGGCATAAAAACATTATAAATGACACAAAAATAAAATGGCTTACGTGTAATTCAGCGGATGTAGTAAAGGTCTATATCAATTTTAAGAGTCTTTGACTTCAAGAAGGTCAAATTTACACACACTTAAAGTTCAAGGACTATCAGTGTTAATTACATACAAATTTACTTTGTTTCAGTATCATTAAAGGAGACACGCTGTGATAAACATGGCGGCATATGCATAGACCAGAATGCCTTCTGCAATCCTCAACTTGTGTTCAACGCATCGAACTGCCCAAAGGACACCAAATGTTGTACCTTAGTTTATTAGTTCCATATTCTATATATCTAAAATAAATTGAAAAAATTTTCGACTCGGGCAGGACCTGAACCGGCATCGTCAGGCTCTACCAATTGAGCTACCGAGTCCTACACCTCATCGTCGAATTTTTTCAACTTATTGATACATGGTTCAAGTCCTGCCCGAGTCGATTTTTTTTTTCAATTTATTTTCGGTTTTAAATTATAACTTAAATTAACTAATATACTTTGCATTTTGAACCGTTAAAACGGGTTTATTTAACTGTGCACTAGTAGTGTAAACTACAGAATATTGAATTTGTAGTGCATTAAAATGTACAAACCTTTTATTTGAAAGCATTTGACGAATTACAAGATATTCTTTAATAGTAATAACATACCTATCTATTACTAGTTACCAAGCCATTCGGAAAGCTAAAACTACTAGATTCGTTCACATTCAATATTTAGTCTTATTCAATACCAATTCATTCGCATAGAACACACAGTAATGATGAAGATAATACAAAAAGAAACATCCCTTTCCTCAGTCGGAAGATATTGTGAGCGTTTCTTATATTTTCCCTCTGTACAGTTACAGTTTCATAAAGTTAAGTCAACTTTCTTTTAAAATAATACAAATTCGTATGCTCTGCAACGACGACGACTTGCCTGTATATAAATCTGCGTAACGGACACAACAATTTGTTCACTCCATGCCCAGCGGATGCAAATTTTGATTAAAACACTTTTCACGGTTTAAAACGCGAAATAATTTGTAAAGCTTTTATTAATACATTTCTCGTTTTAAATCCTTATATATTAAATACTTGAGCAACTCAAATCTTAGATTATTTTGACTTACAAACTGACTTACAAATTAAAATAGAGTCGAGAAAACATGTATAGTATATCCTTTCATAATCGTCTTTGAATAAAACCCTCGGAGTTACCGGCGCTCCTAATATTATCTTCATTTCCTTGATTCTTTCAAATTAGCGCCATAATCCACTTCTATACACCCGAGAATTCCTTTTAGAGCTAGTTTGGTGCGAAAATTTCCACTAAAAATCTCGCTCAATTACCAACCGTCCGAACACTTGATATAATTTTAATTAAACTACGGAAGAGGAAAATAGAGGAAGGTCGACATAGACCAGCTAATAAAGGAAGAATAGTTCATCTGGCACTTGGAAGTATTTTTCAACTGGGTATCCTTTGTTGGGAATGCGAAAGCGAAGTGTATTAAATGTATTCTAACGGCTAAGTGTCTTTTACTCGACTACGGCGAAGACATGAAGAAAATATAGTATGTGAAACATAGTTTCTAGCGTTAAAAATATCGAGGGGTTTTTAAGAAGCAAGGGACGCTTTGAATTGGACTTCCTTTTTTTAATAGACACATCAGGATAGGGCTCACTTCATGGTAGGTGGTATAAGCCTGCCCAGCCGTATAAAATCTAAACAAGATGTATTGTCGAATATTTATGAGTTTGGTTGTTTGGAATCCACAGACTGAAACCGAAACGCTTGAATTTGGCGGCTTTTTCATCTATGGACAGTGGTTCGTGATGCGGAGACCATTTTGAAATTTCTACCACCCATTTTCCAGATTTCCAGACGAAGTTCAACATATTTCAGAAAAAATATACATTGATTAGAAAATTTGTGGGACCCGCTGGGGGCGTCGAACCCACAACTCGCTGATTATAAGCTGATCGCTCTATTGCATTAACAACCGTAAAATGGGTGAACATGTTATTACTAAAAGGCAGGTTCTATTTCTATAGTGTTTAAATGTCGTATAAATATTCAAATATAATAACGCTTTATAAATTAATGTAACATCTTTTGAAATTGAAATTCAACAAGAAATTAGCATTCGTCATAAGACGTTAAAGTTTCACAATAAAGTACTATTCAAAACTGTGCAAAGTTTTAATGTCTGTAATAAGACCAATATGGGATGGCTGGCAACTCTACAAGTACAAGTTTTTAATAGTTGAGATTTTCAAGATACGAGTCTTCTACAATAGATTTAGCATCATTAACGTAATATGGTAAAACAAACGAAGTTAACCTTCTTTTTTAAATTATAATTTGTTATCTAGCCTGAGAAAATTACAGAACAAAATATCAGTTTACTTAAAAAACATACTAATTCATTCAATGGTAATGAAAAAATTGAAATAATTGTTTTTGACGTATATTTTAGACTGGGCATAAGGCGTTTTGTTGCTAGAACGTTTTTTATTCCATATAAATTATGTATTATATTGTATATGTCATAACAATATATATATAAACGAGTGCCAACTTAAAAAAACACACAGTTTCATTTATAGTGCACTGAAAATCACAAAAAAAAAATTATGTCAATTTTTTTTTCATCATCGTGTTCAGGTCATCATCAATCATCGTGTAATCCGCCATTTTGTATCCGCTGCCATATTGGATTTATAATGTTATTGATTTGTATTATTATATTGTATTGTCATCTAAATTAAAAGTGTGTACCAAATTTCAGATCAATCTGACAACGGAAAGGTGCTTAAATTTCCATTTCTAATTTTGACCCAAATAAATAAATTCCGTACGGGTTGAGCTAAATAAAACCGTTTAAAAAATGGTTGCACTTTAGGGATGAAACAAAAAGCATTGGATCGAAAGTAATTGCCCAATAAAGACATAGTATATTTTCCATATGAGTAAATGAAAACAATGCACTTTGAACAACTGTTTTATATAATTGTCGGGTAAGAACTTAAATGCGCTATGCGAAGTCGAAATGGAACACATACATTCATTATGTAAGTACCAGTATACACAAAACAGCGGAAAATCTCTTGGAAATCTTGTGAATCGCGTCGCATTCAAGCCGCGACTCACATAAAAACATTCTTATTTCTCCCCTTATCAAGGCTTCGTATGGTAAAGTGCACAAGAGAAAGCGATTTAAATGATATGGATACTATTTTTGTAAGGAACTGAAGGTCGAAACTTGAAGAGCTTTTTTTGTACTAAATCAAGATTAGTCTTCACAATTCAGACTACGAGGACTTTCACCTTTTAAATTATGGTTATATATGATTTGTTTACTGCTTACTTGAAATACGGTATGTAACTTATAAATATACATATTGCTAGATGTAATGCTCGTTCTTAATTAACGACAACTATCAACTTTGTTTTGTATCTCTTTATATTGCGAAAAAGGTTCTTTACTTTGTTAAGGGTTATTTTTATTCTAACAAAGAGTAAGTCGAAGGATTACTTAACTCCACAGAGAAACGCACATATCACTTCTAAGATTTTGCATCTGCCCGTGAATAATGCTGATTGATGCCCGCACATAGGTGTATCAACGAACCTACGCAAATCAGTCCACGCGATCGGAAATTGAAAAATAGCTCTGTTACTGCTTAATAATATCTTAGTTACTCACTTTGTCTAATTGATTTTAATCTGTACTGGCAGGATGTTTGTAAATATATCAATAAATTAATTAATTAATAATCGATGTTAAAACGCCTATGGTTTATGAGTTGCGCCGTCCGTAAATCGTAATCAAGGGGCGCGATAAATCCCGCCTTATGTGATAGTGTAACGGATTCCGACGCGGCTACGCGCTAAAATTCTTATTTATGTCCAGAAATGGGCACAGCGGCTCGTCTGAATTACCTAAAGGGATAGACGTTATGTGGAAATCTCGTTTGCCTGAATTTTTTCAGCTCCTAAACTGAATTTACAATTAACATAGTCTAATCTGATCTGTAACTAACTAGTAACTAGTAAACTACTAGAAAAACGTTCAATAAATAAATTCTTTAAGATGTAAAAAGTAGATACAATGGGTGTTTTTAAAGCTTTTAGTAAGACAAAAATTGTCTTCTAAGTATAAGCAATAAGTTTCTCCTCTATTGGAAACAAATAAATAAAATACTTTCTGTAGTTTACGCTAGTAGTACACATTTAAATAAAACACCTTAACGCTTTAAAACGCGATATATATTTGTTAAAATAATTTTCAAATGAGTTAAACTAATATATGCTGCGTTTTAAACCGTTAAAGTGTTTTATTTAAACAAATACATACTATTAAATATAAAACTTTTTATATATATGTATAAACATACTTATTTTCTGTTCCTTATTTTGTAGCTATCGCTATATGGTTAAACGTGTTGCCTAACATTAGTTTGAGCGCGAGAGATCCTGGATTTGTATCCCGGGGAAACAAAAGATTGTTTAAGTCGGGCAGGGTAAAGGAGTCTGATCAACTACTTGGCTGTAAATAAAATCTATCAGTGAAGCGGACATAGAAAATTTCAAGATTCAACTTTCACATACCCAGGAGTTAAAAGGACTGCAGTTACTCTGAAATAGGTAAAATTCATACAGCTCTTTCACATTGTATGAAAAAGAAACTAATTTTTAAATAATAAAAAAAATCATACAGCTGTCATGATCGACTTGTTAATATAGTACAGGCCGGGGTATATCACCTACCATCAAGTGAACCCCATGCTTGTCTGTCATTCTTTATCATAAAAAAAAATATATACAACTTGATACTAACGTCGTAACGTATTAGGTAATAAATCGCTTTTCTCTATAAGAAAGTTTCACCACACACATATGGAACAAAACCACGGATTTAGTTTAAAGTGAAAACAATAATTTCATTACTGTCACGTAAAATTTATTTCTCGCATTGAAGCAGTGGCGTGGACGTTGAGAAATAGCCGGTATTGGTAAGTTTAAAACGGTTTTCCGGGTGTGAAGCAAATCAAAGTTTTGCTCAACTTTGTGGAGTATTGCGATTTGTTGATTTATTTCTTTACTTTAAATTAGCTTCTTACAACCTAATTAACTCGGCACTAGATCTACAATGTGACTTATTTTTTATTTAGTAGAGGAAAAAAGATAAGCATGGGGTGTACTTTATGGTAGGTTAAATACCAACAATATGTGCCAATAAATAAGATGTGCCGTTGACCTATTTTGCCTTTGGACACTTTACACAAACAT